TGAAGGTCAGATAAAGGAGCCTTCACAGGTTAAGGAAAGGCTAAAAGGACTTTCACCACCCATAAACCAGTTATTATACGACTAGGCTGGAAAGGTTTCCTTTAAGAAGAGGAAGAAGGAAAAGGGTAAAGGTACCAAATTGTGAACCACCAAAACAGCCTTCTATCAACAAGTAATCTAAGAATCAAGTGAAATATATAATCCTGATGTACAGAAATGAACTGGTGATTACAAATGAATCAGGGACATAGAAAGGGGAATGGACTGACTATTCTTGGCGGGGGGAAAGGGGAATGGGAGATGCGGGAAGAGAATGGACAAAAATCGTGCACCTACGGATGAGGACAGTGGGTGGGGAGTGACGGCGGAGGGTGGGGCGGGAACTGGGAGAAGGGGAGTTATGGGAAAAAAAGAGGAACAAATGTAATCAGAACAATAAAGATTTAATTTTTAAAAAAAATAAAAAAAATAAAAAAATAAAAAAAAGAATAACAGGAGCAAAACTGTTAGACAGTTGGCTTTTGTGTGTTGCGTAACTTGGCTGCAAACCAAACTAATTTTTACAAGTTTGTGACCTAAACCTCAAATCATGTAATAATTTGCCTGTTTATGTTTGCTGCAAAGCTATACTATGAACTAAAAAAAATCATTTTATATTTTTAATATATATTTTTATTGATTTCAGAGAGGAAAGGAGAGGGAGAGGGAGAGAGAAACATCAATGATGAGAATCATTCATTGATCGGCTGCCTCCTGCACTGGGGATCGAGCCAGCATCCCGGGCATGTGCTCTGACCAGGAATCAACCTATGACCTCCTGGTTCATAGGTCGATGCTCAACCACTGAGCCACCCCAGCCAGGTTGTTCCCTTTTGCTCCTCTGCAACCGTGAGAAATGCCTGGGCAGACCTGCTGAGGGAACAAGTGACACGTGGAAGACAGCCAAATCATCCTAGTCCAGCCAGACCACGGCCAAGTCACATCAGACATGTGCCTGTAGATGCAAGAGCCAGAGCAGTTGCACATGGCACAAACTAGCAGGGACACCCACCCACCGGCACTCATGAGAATGGATGGTCGTTGCTTTAAGCCTCCAAAGTCAAATGTGGGCATTAGGCGGTAATAGCTGATGGGCAAGATAGGTCATTGTTTTGTTCTTATCTGCTGGCTACTTTGGCCTTAAAATTCAATATATCTAGACTTTTATGTCTTTTCATTCTCACAATTGATGTCACCTTCAGGCTCTACAAACACATCTGTAAATGGATGCACACTGTTTCTGCAACAAGAAAAACACTTCCATTTCTACCAGGATGCATTCATACATGGACTAAACACAAAACTTTGGCACTTCACTACTGGAAGGAAACAAAGCTTATTCGAGGAGTTAGCAAACAGTCTCTCCCACCCCACCTCCAACCACTACCAACGACAGTAAATAAACTGAATCTAGAAGATATAAATGGGTAGGAGGTATAAAGCTATCTATATATATAAAAGCCTAAGCGACCGGCCGACCGGTAGCTATGATGCACACTGACCATCAGGGGGCAGATGCTCAACATATAGGCATGGAAACATGGAACACTGATGAATCTCAGAGGGAAGGGGGAAGGTGGAGGGCAGGAAGAGATTAACCAAAGATCTTATATGCATACCAGAGGCCCGGTGTACAGATTCACCCACTGGTGGGGTCCCTCGGCCTGGCCTGCGGGGATCAGGCCAAAACCAGCAGTCCAAAGGGTCCCGGATTGTGAGAGGGCGCAGGCCAGGCTGAGGGACCCCACCGGTGCACGAATCCATGCACCGGGCCTCTAGTATATAATATAAATGATTCAATACCTAAAAAGGAAGAAAAAGAGTAAGAAACATTTCTAAACTCCATTTTAAAACTTATTTTCACTAATGCACTTGAGTTTGTGGTTTGGGGAGGTAGTATGGCTACTAGGAGTTCATGACTCAAGTCACATTCTAATGAGAACACCCCATTAGTGCTGATTATACCAACACAGTTAACCTTGCACAAGAGCCCTAGGAAAATGGGTGAAGAGGCTGCCTGTCAAGTATTACTGAAGTGATGAAATAAACGCAACTGTCTTTCTGTTTCATTTTGAGCAAATATATAACTTCGTTACCTTATCAATTTTTACCCAAAGAACAAAAAAAAAACTGTAGAACTCATAAAATTTCCTATGAGAAACTTTCCATATATTAGGAATCACCAACAGACCATCAACTTTCAGATATCACAGAGAATTTCTGCACCAAATTAACTATACTTTGCCATATTAATACAACCTGTGGCTTTTTAAAAACTTAACTATATTACCTCAAAACATTCAAATAAAACAATACTCCCACCTAGTGGATAAAAAAAAGCAACTGGCTTATTTCAGCCGTGAACAGCACCACCACAAAAAACAACTATAACTACAATGAATTTAAAATAAGTTTATTCTGTTTTTAATACCCTCAAAATACTCCTTGAAAAAAAGGAACCTATGAAACAGTGCTGCTGCTGCCCCCCAAGGAATGGACAGGTGACAAAACCATCTGGAATCACGTGTAAATGTTACTCTGAATCTCATTTGTCATCACCAATTTCTTCAGTATCTCTGTGCTCTGGGGAATATTCTGAAAGAGAATAAAGATGTTATACAGTGAGGCTGAGAATTCAGTTAGAAGCGACATGCAACCCCAATCCCTGCACCGGCGCCCAACTGGAAAGGGCGCTGCCATTCATCTCCTTTCAAACAAAAGGTAAGTGGGTCACACATCTAAGGGTGTCCTCCTGTCACTCAAAACTCAGAGGAATCCCTGACCTCCGCAGGCCGCCTAAAGCCCTTAGGCGGACACGACGCTCTAGCTTGGCCCATCTCCCGCCATGAGCTGACTTCCCTCTGCAGCCCAGTACCTCGCTCGCACCATTATCCTCAATGCTCCCTGAGCTTGCCCACTCTGGGCTCACACTGCTGCCCTGTGCGCTAGGATTCACTCATCTTTCAAATCCAGCTGGAGTGCCACATCCCTGGTGCAGCCTCTCCTAATGACCTCCCTTCCCCTTGCCTGGCACACATAACGCCCACTGTTGGCCTGGCATGAAATACCTAAGAAACCAAAGGCCCTACTGGGGTGTACCACCTAGCACTGTGGGGTCCTCACAGGAGGCACTCAAGAGAATCCAGTATGTAAACCAAGTAGCACTTTTAGATCAAAGAGATTATGAATTCGGGATGCCTATATATACCAAATTTATGAATTCGGGATGACTATATGTGGTCACTAAGAAACCACCTTCAAAACAGCCACCTGGCTCACCCTCCCTCCCACAAATCTTTATGTTTAATGCAGAACTAAAAAGGTTTAAAAAGTTATTTAAATTTCCTTTTCAAAGAATATTTTAAAACCCAAAAGTTGACCTAAACACTGCATGACACATGATTTACAGTTCTCAGAACAAGTCCAAAGTTCTGGAGTGCCTGTGCACTGAGCACCGTACCACAATACAGACCGAACAGCCCAGCCCGGGAAGAGCCAATCAGTTAACCAAGAAGCACACAAAACTGTGAGCACATACTCCGAAAGAGATGCTCTATATAAGGTAGCTCAATCTGTCAGAAAGAGCACCCATTCCTCTAACGGATTTAGAAGACCCACAGTGGTCCCTCAGTACCTGCAGGGGATTGGTTCCAGGACCTCCCAGGCGACCCATGTCCTCGGATGCTCAAGTCCCTTACATGAAATGGAGAATAATGCAAAAAGTCGGCCCTGCCATCCGCGGAAACAGAACACTGACTGTACCTCAATTATACTTGAGTCTTAGTTTTACTCTTATTAATTCAACAAATGGTTACTGAGGGCCATCTTCTACATGCCATGCTTGTGACAAACTGGGAACACCAAAATGAAAAAACATGGCCTGTTTCCACAAAAAAATGGATGCACGAGGAAGCAAACTAATTATGAGACCTGTGAGATGAGCTGACACCAACACACCAGAAAAGTTGCCTTAACACGAATGGCCATTCTGAACAAAACAGGGCTGTGGAACAATGTTGTTATACCCTCAATCCTTTAAGGAAGCTGTTTTCAAACTGGGAGTCCATGGATTTTCAGCAAATCTCTTAGGAAGAGGAGGGGAGTTCCTAAACTACCTGAAATTGCAGGCAGGACTTTCTGTGTATACGTTCCATAGGTATTTTTCTGGGGAAGAGCCCACAGATATGTATACAAACTGAAAGCAGGGAACAGGTTTATCTCATCTTCACACATCTAGTCCCACACAAATTTAGGTGAATAAATGTTACAATAATTTGATCCATATGCCTCCTTAAAAACTACCGCCTTCCAAATTAATTCATTCTAAATTAATCAAATGCCTTCTCAAAATTTACCGACCTTCCAAATTAATTACAGTGGAGCCTTGACTTACGAGTTTAATTCGTTTCGTGATGGAGCTCGTAACTCAAATTACTCGTATGTCAAATCACTGTGACGTTCGCTGCGCCAACTAGCGGCGGGGTATCTGAAGCTGGCTCGTAACCCGAATTTTAGCTCGCAACTCCAAGCAAAGACGGCTCGTATCTCGAAAAAACTCATTAGTCGGGACACTCTTAAGTCAAGGCCCCACTGTAGTTAAAGAAACTTCTCGAATAGTAAAACCATCTTTCTACACAGCCACCTGGGATTTAAATGCCTGGCACTGACCTATCACACACGAACAAGACACTCAAGTTACAGGGGGATATCTACAAGAGAGGGCGCCAATCAAATTCCAACCGCCAGGTGAGGAAGCTTTGAGAAAAAAGGGTCTCAAAGTGCTACTTAAGTTATGAGTTGACACCACACATTTATGTTTGCTATTATGCCTGTTCATGATAGTAAGTCAGCTATTAAAGTCAATGAGTTAAATAAAGTCTTACCTTAACCAAACCTTTCAAGCTTCTGGAAGAAAGCACAGGCTTAAAAGCCTCAGCTGTAATGAGGTCTAATTTCATCACGTCAGTATAACACAAGTACAGAATGGCAGGGATTTTCCATACTTGACAGTAGCTCAGAACTGAATAATCAAGAAAGGAAAAACTCTTAAGTTTTCCACTATAGTATTTTTAAGTTAAACATCTCTAAATAAAGCCTTTAAAAATAGTTGTTTCTGTTGCCTCTTTTAATCAAAGCATTTACTGCCATTTTGAACTAATTATAATGCATATTTTTTCCAAAGCCAATTATTTTCCTAAGTATTCTCCTGCTTCTGCATATATTGATTTTTTAAATTCAATTTTTCAGTTACAGTTTACATTCAATAGTATTTTGTATTAGTTTCAGGTGCACAGATAGGCGAATATTGTTTATTTGCATTTCCTGAACATACTGCTGAAACACATTTTAAGTAGCTACAAGATTAAAATTTTGCTGACTATCCTAAACAAAGCAAATTAAATGTAAATAATAAATATATGAAGCATAGCCCTAACCGTTTTGGCTCAGTGGATAGAGCGTCGGCCTGCGGACTGAAGGGTCCCAGGTTCGATTCCAGTCAAGGGCATGTACCTTGGTTGCGGGCACATTCCCAGTAGGGGTTGTGCAGGAGGCAGCTGATCGATGTTTCTCTCTCATCGATGTTTCTAACTCTCTATCCTTCTCCCTTCCTCTCTGTAAAATATCAATAAAATATATTTTTAAAAAATATATATATATATGAAGCATAAAACTTTGAGCCATTTATTCTAATAAACTTAACATTTAGAGGAAAGAAAATCCTTTTATTAACTAGAGGCCTGGTGCACGAATTCGTGCGTGAGTGGGGTCCCTTGGCCTGGCCAGCAATTGAGACCTACTGGGGGGCCAGACAGCCAGGGGCTCCCACCAGTTGGGGGGGCCCGGCCAGCGGGTGAGGCCATGGGCGGTTGGCCAGCCAGCTCCACCCCCAATCGGGTTGGGCGGGGCCAGCCAGGGGGAGGGGCCACGGGAGGTTGGGGTAGGGGCCAATCGGGCCGTATCAGGCTGGTTGGCAGCCCCAGTATGCGTCATAGCGAATTAGCCTTTTATTATATAGGATAACAACTAACTGTATATAATAACATTTACTACTGAAAAGTGACAATCTAATTTTGATATAGTAGTAACAGGAACAAAAATATTAAAATTATCAAGATTCAATATTTGAAACTATTATTTTGATAATTAAAACACACTTTACCAACTTTTCATATACCAACAATTTATATCTAACATTGGCTCACATGAGTTACCAAAGACCAAGAAACAGAGCAGCTCTGAAGGGCAACAGTTAAGAACTCGGAGCTGTTCTCATGTAACTGTGTGTGGTAAATTTTAAAATTTTAAAACTCAAAACAAACAGAATGTACTGGCAACTACAGATACTGAGGTTAAACAGCAATGCATTATTAATCATCATTAACAAACTACCTCAAAAAGATCTCACACTCAAAGGAATTACTACCAATAAAACAATACCAAGATGTAACGTAAAGGTTACGAACTTTAATACCACCTGCTGCAGGGAGGTCGTGTACGATGTTGGGTTGTTCCAGCAGTGAGCAGCATGGAGGCTCTTTGGAATTCTGTGTTTTTAGGGCTTTCAGGAAAGGGGAATGAAGGCTGCTGGTAGATTCTGAAGTCTTATAGTCAGTAACGTGTCGACAGGTGAGAATAGTTACTTGCATATTCTTCTTTGGACAAGAGCCAAAAACCTAACACATAATTGATTTCAAATTAATATATATATTAATATATGAAATCAATAAAAAAAATAATAATAATAATAACATCTAACTGCCCAAATTATGATTATTCTCTAAAATTCCTAGCTGAGTTAAAGTATTCACTGAAAAATCTGTATTATTGGGCACATACTATGTGCACAACTTTCCCACAAAATGAAGCCTCAATCAATCCATCATAATGCTAAGAACAATGGGTATAATATTCTGGGGTCTGGAGTGAGTGGCAGCTGAGTGCCAGCCCCCTGACTCCCACCCCAAGCATTGCCAGCACGGACGCTTTTACCAGTGGCCGTGTCCTGTTCTGTTTCTTGCCTGTAGCTTTTGTTTCTGTCAAACAAAATAATAATGTGGATGGGAAGAATTCAATTAGTTTTAGGCCTCTGCGACCTACAATCTTTAGCACAATGCTAATTATGTTTGTTAAATAAGTCCTTTTATTCTTTACATTCTCTTAACAACTTACTACAATATTTTAAGGGAAAAACCCAAACACGTTCCCCACTTCAATATCTGACTATGTGGGTTACGTGTGAAGACACTAAACCCTTACCTAATGGCATCGCTCACCTTTTCCAGCCACTGATACTGCTGATCTTCAGCAACGTAGCAACTGCACTGGCAAAGGAAAACCTGAAAAACCAAATCCCAAGTTTTAGAGTCAAATAAATTTTATGTGCACCCCCGACTGTCAGCAGATACATATCGTGAATATCCTAATGCAACGCTTAGATATCACTGATTTTTCTCAATTTGCTAATGGCTTATTTTGCTTTACAATTTTAAATTTAAGAATCAATCTACTACTGGTAATTAATATCGGAATAAAATGCACACTGACTGGGCGGCAGCCTATGAGGTACTGCAGATGCTCCCAGTGAAGACCCCCAGAACGCATAAACACAGGGAGGTACCAGCCCTGCTGCCCCTGTGGGCCCCCTGTGAAGGCCAGGCTCAAATCAGTCCTCGGTGGCAGGTAAGCACCAACTCAACAGTAGGTCCAGCTGGACCTCAGCCCACCGATATCCCGAAGCGCGGCCGATGCCTGTGAGGACGGTGTTAGTTTAGAAACCCAGTTGCAGACCATAAGCTCCAGGTGAGATAACCTGCCACAAGGCCATGAAAGGATGAGATTCCTGGTTATAAAAGCTCACAGAACAATACTATCCACAGAAATCAACCATATCGTCTCTAAAATATTGCCAGATATGCTAACTGCACAAAGCAAGTACAAGAGGGGAATAGGGACCCCAAGATAGGGGAGAACAAAATGACTGGATATATATTTAGCTGCCTGTACACGTAAGTTCTAAATAATCAAAAGATATCTAACCGCCGAAACCGGTTTGGCTCAGTGGATGGAGCGTCGGCCTGCGGACTGAAGGGTCCCAGGTTCGATTCCGGTCAGGGGCATGTACCTGGGTTGCGGGCGCATCCCCAGTAGGAGATGTGCAGGAAGCAGCTGATCGATGTTTCTCTCTCATCAATGTTTCTGACTATCTCTCTCCCTTCCTCTCTGTAAAAAATCAATAAAATATATTTTTTTTTAAAAAAAAAAGATATCTAACCAATAAATGGTAAAACTAGAGGCAGTAACAGAAATTTCTCCTACTTGACCTTCACTGTCTATTCTAAAGTGAAACTTTTCCACTAAGGATCAGATAAAGTTTCCTGATGCTTAGCTTCCTGAGTAATCCTATATAATAAAAGCCTAATATGCTGTGTCCGACCGTTCGTTCGACCTGTCACTATGACACGCACTGACCACCAGGGGACAGACGCTCCAACCAGTAGGTTAGCTTGCTGCTGGGGTCCGGCCAATCAGGACTGGGCAAGACAGGCCGGACATGCTCTGGAGCCCTCCCACAGTCCCTCCCTGGCCCCAATTGTGCACCGGTGGGATCCCTTGGCCTGGCCTGAGCCCTCTGGCAATCCAGGACCCCTTGGGGGATGTCAGAGAGCCGGTTTCAGCCTGATCCCCACAGGCCAGGCCGAGGGACCCCACCGGTGCAGGAATCTGTGCACCGGGCCTCTAGTTTCCTATAAACACTGAATATTTTATAAAAATCCTTACGAAATTTCAGTAACTTTGGAGTGCATGCTATAGAAACAAACTGTATTATAAAATCTAATTCTACAGTTTTGGGGGCTAACACTTGGTCCTTACCATTTGAAATAAGCAACATTATAATATTACAGAATTACTGACTTCTTCCAATGTCTGAATCCCTGCCCCTGCCTTTGTTCAAGTGGGGGCGGGGGGGGGGGGGGGGTTGGAACTCTGCCAGACAAGCAGATGGGCAGACATCACCTGTGTGGCCACCTCACCTCCCTGACTTGTCTCCCAGACTGCCCAGCACACTGAGTTCTCTAAATGAATGCAAGAGTAGAATTAGGACAAACACAATCCAAAGAAATCACTCAACATCGGCTACAGAATGTCTTTTCTGACTTAAAAATCAGGACAAATTAGGTTAGGATGAAAACCTGGTGTCACCAGAACTGTATTTAGGATGCATAAAGCACTCATCTGTTCAGCAGACATTAGCTGAGTTTCCAGCATGTACCAGGCACTGGCTAAATACTGGCCTACACAGCAACAAAGCAGAACTCCCGGCTTTGACAGAATGGACATTTTTGCACGTCTGGAGTCGCCAACTGAAGTAATCTTTTCATTGAGGGCAACACTTAAATACCTAATGTTTATGATTTGTTTCTAACAAAGTTATATCAGAATTTCCTAAGAACTTTACCAACAGTGTATAAACAACAAAGTGGTTACTACCCTACCTCAGCCCAAAGTAGACACAGACGAACATGGAATTCAAATGAACACTACATAAATGATGCCTACACAACTACTACTTTTTGTTGCTGTCAGTCGTCACCCAAGGATATCTTTCCATTGATTTTTTTTTTTTTTTTTTTAGAGAGAGAAAGGAAGGGAGGGAGAGAGACATGGATTGGTTGCCTCCCACAAAGGCCCTGCAACCAGGTACATGCCCTTGACTGGAATGGAAACCTTCAGTCCGCAGTCCGACGCTCTCGGCTACACAACAACTTCTTAAACACACAAGGTTAGACCCACATACCGAGGGGTTTGACTTTAGGTGATAAAACACGCAAAAAGCCTCTGCGGGGGATAAATGTGCAGCGTCTGTTGTTCTGCACCATTCATTCCAGAGTTTAGCACAGCCGACTTCTTCCCAGACTCCTGAATTCATAACAAATGACGACAAAAATGCTGTCAAAACAATTCACAGGAGTTAGTATTTGGCTCTGCAGGTTGCATTTTCTAGTCAATACAAAATAAATTCATTCAATTTACTCTAGAATTTTAGAGCTAAAGGGGCCATTCTAGGCCATCAACTTTACACTAGCATTTAGCAGAAAAGGAAACTGAGGCCGTAAGAAGTAAAAGGCCATGCCCTGAGTACAGATGGGATCAGAGCCAGGAGCTGAAAAGGGTCACTGACCCACTTTACTATGCTCTCACAGGCAACACTTACCTGGAAAGTTGTAGCCAGTAGAACTTTAACATAAATGAGTGGGTAGTTATTTACCTTGTACTTGCTCTGCGAACACGAGGGCTAACTTATAGGACAAAGATCTGGACTGGAATCCCGAATGCTCTCCTTGAGCCAAAGAAGCCCCTAAAATTATACAGGTTTGCACATGCACGTGCATATTGTCCTAGCTGAACCCTGCACTGTTCTAACGTTAACGTCTCAAATGGATTCATTCATGTAAAGACCTTAGAACTTAAGTACTCAAAATGTTAGTGATTACTGTTATTTCTAGAGCTCTCATTATGTTCTTAAAGGAGCCTGTTAACTGAAAAGCATTTAAGAACCACTGCTACAAGGGGGTCCTATACACATGCCCCCTCTGCCCCTCCAGGTCTGGTCAAAACAGGCCCTGGAACTAATGGAATCCTAGAGCCCTGAACACACTGGAACCAATTCCTTGAGTTTTCCAGTCCCTAAAGTCAAGAACATTTCCTTTAAATCATATTTTTTAAGCTGATCAAAAAGACAGTGACACATGAATGACAGATTTTACTTGAATACAAAGTTATTCTCTTATGAGTTTTTCTTAAAAAATAACGAACATTTGACATCTTTTCTGACAAAAATAAATCAGTAAGTTGAGCTTTTATTCTTTCAACAAAATGTCTAGTCTAATGCATTTCCACTCACCTACTGCATTGTTTCCAACAGCAATTATAAACTTGGAGCAAGGATATTTTTCCAGCAGAGAAACTTCCAACGATGTTTTTGTTTGTCTTCGAAAGAGCCGCACCTCCCTAACACAAGAAACAAAAGATGAAACTAAAGCAGCTTACATATAAAGAGTGCCTTGTTATGATAAAAAACACTTACTAGAAGTATGATTTTTGTATGAAGCAACAGACCTGTTCTGGTTTTATAAAGAACATAATCATAATCCTCAGGAAACAATGGAATCCGGCGATGACAACAGAGAAAACCAACCCACACCAAGTTCCTGGAGAACTGGAACCCAGAGATCAGGCTGTCCCGTCGTTCCCCATCCCCCCCCCCCCCACCGCACCGCGGGCAGCAACCTGCGGTATCGGAGGTGGGGGGCGGATAGAAAGAGAAGGGAGGTTTTAGTAATGGAAAATCTTATCGCCTAGTTACAGGCATGCTCCGGGAGTCCAGTTTTTGGAAGGTTCGGTTCTGCATTATGGACTGGATTGCTTTAAACTTAACTCTGTAAAAGAAAAGAGAGGAATACACAGCCCTGCCACCCGAGTGAAAGTGGCCTTCTCACTCTTTCT